CTGGTGGCTAGAGCAGGCACTGCTTCAGCACATGCAAATGCTGTTTTCTGAGAAACCTGAACACAAATTCCTTCAAAGCTACAGTACATAGGCCAAATTTGACAAATCAAAAGCCGTCGAAATGGTAACCATACCACATAATACAAAAGATTTCATTAGAACAGAATCACAAACTGAACATGCTAAAGGCAGCAAGTACATTCAGGCAGCTAACATTCAGAGTAACATCTAACAGGTTTCAGAGTTTCAGGCTTTCAGCTAACATTCAGGCATTCAGATCAAGCATACATTTCGAGTAGACAGGAGGCAGTGAGCATTCAGAACAGAGAGACATTCAGAGCAGCAGCGTGGCGGGGAGGGTAGAGAGACATTCAGAGCAGCTAACATTCAGAGCATTTAGAGAAGAGAGACATTCAGAGCAACTCGTCGCAGCTCACTGAGAAGAGGACATGATGACTGTAGGTCTTCTCGTCGGTGTGCAGCAGAGCTTCAAGCTGAGGGCAACTGGAGACACTCCGTCTGGAGCTGTGAGAGCGAGATTCAGTGGAGCCACGTGCAGGGGCGGGGATGGCCGGCAACCACGGGCGAGGTCGTTGCCGCGGGGTGGTCCAGAGGAGCTCGCCGGCACATCCAAGCCACGACGCGGTGCCGAAGCGCGGTGGCCGAGCTCCATCCGCGGTCGCCGTGACGCACTGCCGCGCGAGCTCGGCAAGGCACGAGCCGGCGGCGGCTCCTGCTGCCCGTGCGGATGGGGGTGGTCAGCAGGGTCACCGGGTGTCGGGCCAGGGCGCGGCGCGCAAGTGGGCGGCCGGGAGATGCCCTGCAGCGTAGGAGAGCAGCCGTCAGTGCCTCCCCGAGCTTCCCCTTGGTCGCCATGGCCGAATCTGCAGCGAGGAGGACGGCGAGTGGCGGCTGGTGGCCAGGCGCTCCGTCGGGGAGGAGTCGCAGAGGACCAGCACCAGCGGGGACGACGAGCAGGGGACTACCACCTGCGGCGACCGCCTGCCTGTGCCTGCGCCCGCCACCGCTTGCCTGCGCCTGCAGCCACCCGCGACCTCCCGCGTCAGGCCTGGAGAGCCGCCTTCGCCTGCCTGCGCCTGGCACCCGCCTGCGCCCGCGCCGGCCTGGAGAGCCGCCGCCGGCCACCTGCGCCCGCACCAGCCTGGAGAGCAGCCGCCGCCGAGAAACGAATCGAGCTGGTAGGGTTCGTCTTCGGGGCTGAATCGGTCGTATGGCCAGGATGCCATATCCTTTTGTCCACATGGGCAATTCGGTCAATACGGAAATACAGTATGCATGCAACACCTGCAGGTGGGTCCAAGGGCGTTGGATACGTCCATAATGACAATTATCAGCAACTTCAACAATTATAATGACAAATTTTCAAATAGCTCAATAGTAATGGTAAATTTCCAAAACACGAAAATTGTAATGTCTTAAATCAAAATAACCCAAAAAAAACCCAGCGTGTTGAGGCGTTGCCAAGAGAGAGAAACTAGAAACAAAATCTTCATGGAAATCCATTTGGTTTGATTTGATCTGATTTGGTGCATGCAGCAGAACCACAAAAATGACAGCCACGACGTTTAATCGGTGTACAGATCGATACCGCCAGATAGAAAGAGATAGAATGATTAGTGGACTAATTGGTAATCTATATCGGCCAACAATGCAAATTAACCTAGTACTCTACCATTTTTAATGCTCACGATTTTGCAGCTTTGCAGTGTCAGCAACTCAGCACAGCACGGGCCCCTATAAATACGGGCCCGTGTATTGCTGTCACGGCCACACCCACAACAAGAAGCGGTCGAAGGGGAGATTAGATTGAGCGCTATGGCCGGGCTCAAGAACGTCGCCGCCGTGGCGCTTCTGCCGCTGCTCCTTCTCCTTCCGCTGACGACGCTCCCATCCATGGCATCAGCCGCGCGCCGGCCGCTGATACTGACGAGCAGGGCGAACTTCACGGCGCTGAGGCAGGTCCCAGGTGGACCAAACAGCATCACCAGTGACGCGCCGCCACTGCCAGTCGACTTCGCGGTGCTGAGGCTGGTTCCTGGTGGGGCTGACAGCACCACCAGCGACCCGCCGCCGCCGCCGCCATTGGTCGACTTCTCTGTGCTGTGGTTGGTTCCTGGTGGGACAGACAGCACCACCAGCTAACCGCCGCCGCCGCCGTCGCCGTCGCCAGCAGTGGCCGCAAGCAGCCACGTCGACTTGCTTCCCGCTGGTGAGGAAGCTAGGTTTCTAGTGGACCAAACAACAAGACGAGCAATCCTCACCGACGGCCACGAGCGCTTGATTCACAACGATACAGGTCGTCATCACGCGAACGGTCGTTTTGTACTGACATGAATACGTCTTTTGCTATTATTTTCCTATGGATGGATAGTGGAAAAACAGCTACAGATGAATTGCAGGAGTTGATGATGTGATTTCCTTTTCAAGGTCTCCAAGTTGCCAGCTGCTCCATCCGTCCCAAAATAAGAATCATTCTCACTTTCTGAAAAATCAAATATTTTTAACTTTGAGCAAACATATATAAGAAAATATTAATATTTATGGTGCATAATAAGTATCATTAGATGAACCGTTATATTTTCATAATAAAATTACTTAGAGATATAAATATTGCTAATATTTTTCATAATCCTAGCTAATCAAAGTTGAGGAAATTTGACCAGCACGTATCACATAGCGTCACTTGTTTTGGGCCGGAGGGAGTATGTTTTGATGTGTTAGCATTATTAGTCCTCCTTTCCATCAGTTCAATAAGGAAAAAAAGAGTTCAATAGGAATAGATGCATGGTGTTCCATGCGCCGGAGATAATTAATACCCTTACCTTAGATTATATTGGAGTATTCGATAAGGACATGAAGCAAAAATATGTCTTATTTGACTGCACACGTATCTATCTCAAACCACATGTATATGTGGATTGAGCAAGGTTCCAAATCTTTGACTATAGTGTCGCTAGAGCCTGCTATAGTTGTTTGGGGTATATCAAGTTATTTGTGTCCACGTATGATTTAACGGCTATAGCCCACTATAGTCTTTATTTAGATTTGCTATTGAAGCAACCACAATGTTGTCAGACAGTAGTCCATGGCCAATTAAATATTCAGTAGAAGGTGGCTGAAACATTATATAAGGATAGTCTATAGAAGAGAAATAACAAAAGGTACCCATAGTACTATTGCTAGCCCACAAGACAATAAAAATGATATTTGTTTATTTCTATTTTCATTTAGTTTTCTTTTTCCTTATTTAGTTATTTATTTATTATAATTAATTAATCAATTTATTTTATTTTTTATTTGCATACATGGTGTATTTTGTAATGGTCCTACGGTATCCATAAGATGTTTCATGTTATACACCTTTATTGTTCATGTAGCCTATAGAATGTTCCACGATTTATTTTTTGTTGTTCATCGGTACGCATGAATGTTCTATGATGTATTTTCGATTACTCACATATTATCTACGGGATGGTCCATGATGTTTTTTGATTTTTCACATAGTTATAGCCGTGAGATTTTTCTCTCTCTTTTTCTTTCTCTTGTCTTTTTACATTTTTCCTCTATTACATGGATTTTAATTTGCTTTCTTTTCATTTATTAGTTTTTATTTTTATACATGGTGTATTTTGCAATGTTGCTATAGTACCCTTAAGGTGTTCCATGACATATTTTAGATTGTTCACGTAGTAACCATAAGATGTTTTATGGTGCATTTTGATTGGTCACACATTACCCATGAGATGTTCCATATGTTATATTTTATGTTGTTAATATATCTATTCTATGATGTATATTTTATGGGGCTCTTGTGTTCTTGCTCCTACTTTGAAGTGCAATTGTGATTTTACCCTCGTTTTTCTAACTTTGTGATTTTGCCCTTCACTACGAGCAAGTCAATGCGATTTTGCCCCTAGTCAACGGTCAAAACAGGGGCAAATTTACAAAGACCAGGGGCAAAATCGTGTTGACTTGCTAGTAGTGAAGGGCAAAATCACAAAGTTAGAAAAACGAGGGCAAAATCATAATTGCACTTCAAAGTAAGGGGCAAGAACACCAAAAACCCTTTATTGTTCACATGGTATCCATGTTCCATCTTACATGTTGCGTTGTTTACGTAGTATCCATGAGATGTTCCACGATGTATTTTCAATTATTCGCATAATACCAATAAGATGTTCTATGGTGTAATTTATTTTGTTTACGTAGTATCCTGGAGATCCACTGTATATTTCAATTATTTCAATAACATTCATGAGATGTTCTCTTTTACTACCAGCCTGTTCGCTTGTTGGTTTTAGCTAGGGCTTATCAGCCAGCCAACAGTATTTTTCTCTCACAACAATCCAGCAACAGTCGGACTTATCAGCCCAGAAACCAACCAGCGAACAGGCCGTACTACTAGATGTGAATATTATGGAATATCATTCACCAAAACCTACAACTTCATTCTCTTAAATCTAGAATGTTGATCCCATCAACTTAGAAGTTAGAACATCTATTTGATGAAGATGGGATACTTCTTCCTATAAACATAAAACATTGTTCGTGGTTAATGAAAACAAATGTTCTATCTTCATAAGGAAACTGTTTTCAACAAAATATTATCTTAACATACTCAAGTGTTGTTTTGAAATTTGATCATAAGAAAACACAGTAATATAATCAAAATTTAATTTAAATACTTGGCTATAAACTATGTCTTTTTTTAGTTTTGCACAAAAACATGGCATTATCAAGTTGGCAACGTATTAACTGGAACCCGTGACGCGGCCTCGGCCGTCCACTCGCCAGCCGCCATGTTCGGGGCCGCGCGGCGCGGCCCAGGCAGACGTTTCTGACTTTCATCGGTGTCCCTGACACGTTATATCCCTTCCCTCACCGCGCCTACTACTCCTTCAACTTCAGTCGTGAGTCAGTCCTCACCGCCAGCTTCTGGCCTCCGCTCGCATCGACCTCCGGTGCCACCCTCGCCGACGATGGCGACGCACGGGCTGGCACCGCCACTGCCACTGCTCCTCACCGTCCTCCTGGTCGCGCTCGCGCCGTCCTCCTTCGTCGCGGCGGCTGGCGGCCGCGGGACCGGGCGTAGGCCGGCCGCCGCGTGCACGTCCACGTACACGCTCAGGGTGAAGACGGCCTGCGGCTCGCCGGCGGCGCGGACGTCGGACGCCGTCAGCGTCGCGTTCGGGGACGCCTACCGAAACGAGGTGCTGGCGCGGCCGCTCGTCGTCCCCACGTCCGGGCCCGGGAGCAGCAGGGAGCTGGAGCGGTGCGGCACGGACACGTTCCGCGTGGCGGGGCCCTGCGGCTACGGCGTCTGCTACCTCTACCTCCGCCGCGACGGCCGCGACGGCTGGGCGCCCGAGTGGGTGCAGGTCGTGCAGCCGGGGCCTCGAGACCGGCCGCCGGCCACGGCCACGTTCTACTTCGGCGGCCCGCTGCCCGACGGCGTCTGGTACGGCCATGACCGATGCCCCAAGGCCGCCGCCGCTGGCACCAACTCCTCGGCTTCGCCTCGAGGCTGACACCTTCCATCCGCCCTCGAGGATGGCCGTGGCCGACTGCGTGCGTTCTTCCCGTGGATTGCTGTAGTGGAGATGGAGATCAGGATATGTACTTTATTCGGATCAATAAGCAGCAATTATACTAAGGGGCTGTTTGATCCTTTCATTGGGATCTAGTTAATAAATTAGGTTATTTGAGCTTGAAATTTGATATTCCATCGCTTTTTAAAGTTCACATATAAGTGTACATCAAATTCATAGGATCGGAAATGGAAACAATTCTATGTTTGTACTTTGTAACTTATAACACGCCCTTCAATTCGCTCCCCTACGGTAGAAATACAACACATAAGTATCTCTCGTATAGCCAACAATAATATATAAATATAATCAATATATAATCATATTAGCTTAATTAATATATGTTTAAATTATTATTACTAAAATGAATTCAATTCCAAAGATCTAAACGGGCATAATATTATTTGCTCCTAGTTTGCGTACGCCGAGTGTTGAGTCCGGATTTAGATCGACAATTTAAATCTGCTGATCAATTATGTCTGTTTTGCACGATTTTAGCTTTGATGGCATCTTTCGCCGAGGAGTTGTACCAAACATTTTTTTTTAAGTTATTTTTGAGGGAGGAACTTAAGATGTAAAAAGTTGTTCTCTTTTACTCTTTATTATCACCTACTGGAAATTAAAGATATTGTTTCGTTTGTTTAGCCATTTTGAATATTAGGCCTGTTTGGAATGCAGGAATTTCGCAAGAATCACATTCACATGAAACAGTTCAATTTTATAGAAAAACACAAGAACGGAAAAGAATAATTCCCGTAATCCAAACATACCCTTAAACGGTATCTTATTGTCTTAGTAAGAATTTGCATGGATTGCCACGTGGGTTGATAGAAGGTCCATGTGACGAGCCAGCAGTACCCCTTATTTATCCGAAATGTTCATGTGACGTACAGGAGCTAAATTTCGTGAACTTTGTTGGATACTTTACTTTATCAGTGGAAGATAAAGGCCCTCGCCGCAGCGCCGAACGTGCTTGGAGACCCATGCTATCCCGAATCCTTGCTCGATGAAGTAGTTCTTCTGACATAGTACCCCCTGAAGTTTGTAGGATCCCTTCGATCTCGCGCCTTTACAATTAACATGTAGACGGCCAGTTAACATATAGGCTTATTAGTTTTCCAAAAAAAAAACATATAGGCTTATTAAAAACAAAAAGAACCTATTGCGCAACATAAACCAAGATGATGTACACCACCTCTTCTTATGGCCGAAGCGCCGGAGCCACAATTTGAGCATAGAGGGAATCGTTTTGATAATGCTGACGATAATCACACATGATAAGATACACGTGAGTGCATACATATAATAACCAAATCAGCATTTGTTTCACGATACAAAAGAAAGCTAAAAGTATAAATGATACTGATATAGAGAATGGGAGAGAAAAAACAATTAGCCATAAGTCTCTAATCTCCATCCGACTAATCTAATTCATAGGCAAAAAATTACTGTAATAACAGGAAAAGAGAAGGAGATGATAAAAGAAAGATAATCCTAAAGCATATTGATGTCATAGGGGAGGGAGAAGTAAGAAAACAAGTACTAATTAACATAAGGAAAAAGTCCGTTTTTGGCCCTCCAACTATGGCAGCAGTTTGGTTTTAGCCCTCCAACTCCAAAACCAGACAACCGCAGTCTATCAACACTGTAAACCAGATAGAAATGGCCCTCGCGCCGACGCGTCGGCGGTTTCCGCCCGGTCAACCCGCGACGACCGCGTTATTGGCCCTTTTTCCTTCTCTCGCGACCCACTTACTTGCGCTCTCTCCTCTCACTCTCTTCCGTTCGTTCCCCAACCCCGAACCCTAACTCCCGACGGCGGCGACGGCGGAGGGTGTTGGTGCGGGTGCGGATCGATAGCTCCAGTCGTCGACTTGCTCACTCTCTTCCGTTCCTTCCCCAACCCCGAACCCTAACTCCTGAGGGCGGCGACAGCATGGCGAGCTCGAGCAGCGCGAGTAGCTGGAGGGGAGGAGGAAGGTCCGACCGTGATGGCTTTCGATCGTCCCCCTTGCTGTGTCGCTGAGGCCCTCTTGATTATTGGCCGCCCGTGCTTTGCGATTGCGGAGCGAAGGCGGCAAAGTGGACGTCATGGACCAATGATAATCCGGGCCGCAGGTTCTACAATTGCTTCGGATCTCAGGTGAGTTCGATCGATGACTTGTTTAGGGTTTGGTTCTTGTCCTTGGTTCTTTGTTGGATGTGATGATTGAAGCTGTCTTGGTTTTGGTTGTAATCACGGTTGCAGAGCAATATGCGGCCATGCCAATTTTATCGCTGGATTGATCCACCAACCCTGGAGCGCCTTATACCCGTTCTTATTGAGCTCCGTGACCAAGTGCGAGCAATGAGGACGGCTAACAGACAGGGAAATGGCCACATGGATCTGGCATTAGTTGATGCAGAAGCATCAAGGCAGCAAGAAAGAGCCATGGTGGAGGCAGGATTTGTAGGCACAGATGTTGTGGCACCAACGGTGCAAACAACTAGAACAGATGATGTTCAGTTGAAATGCAGGATGGTAGAGAAGGAACTAGGTTTGTTGAAGTTTGTATTGGCGGCCTGTGTGATTGTAGTGCTTGCTGTACTTTTTAGGAAGTAGATGTTTGTGGCTTTTTTAGTTGTGAATGGTAGTAGTTGGATGCTTGTTAGTTTGTGGTGTACAAGTATGGAAGATGTATTGAATTGAAGATGTATTTTGCTATCTTTGAATCGATTATGAATTCGAAGATAAGGCTTTCAGGTATCTAGTGACATGAAGTCTTATTGCTTTTCTTGCTTCTACCAAATTTGATTTCATATCCTATTGCTCTTTCATGTGAACTGAGGAACTCAAATTGGCTATCATCCAGGATGACTTGCTCTTTGATGGAGAAATACCCTTTTCTTCTATTTTGCCTTTACTTGGGTTATGTGATTCTGTGATCCATAGGCAATAACAGCTTCTTGACCTATAGGCTATAGTTAGGAGGCCAGCACCCACTATCCCATGACCTGGGGAAGAAATTGATGTCTACATATTTTCATTGTTCAATGAGAATAGGAAACCTAGCATTGAGTCGAAGAGGAACTGGGGACTGTTCTTTCCTGATAGGAAACCTGGCAATGTGGTTGTTATGATTGGAGCAAACAATACAAGTGCAAATGGTACCTGGTGTATTGCTTCAACTAATGCATCAGAAACAGATCTGCAGAATGCCCTCAACTGGGCATGTGGTCCAGGCATCGTAGATTGCTCTGCCATTCAACCAAGCCAACCTTGCTACCAGCTGGACACTTTAGCTTCCCATGCTTCGTATGCATTCAATAGCTACTACCAGCAAAATGGAGCCAACGTTGTGGCCTGTCAGGACAGGAACCAGGCTCTAAACTTGAAAAGTTGTCAGGACTCAAGACTTAATAACCATGTATTTGCACAGCTTTGAGAACTTAAAAGTGTAGCATTACATTACAAGACATTAAAGTCTGGCATTATAATTTGCACACTAGCACAGCTTCGAGCACTTATAGTCTGGCATTACATTACAAGTTCAACCAAGGAGTGATAGAAACGACTGAACATTACATTACAAATGCCTTAAAAGTCTGGCATTACATTACAAGGTAACATCACAATATGGCAATACATGCTTTTAGGGATCAGCATGGTCTTTGAGAAGCAGCAGTTGGCTTGGTTGTGTGCGCTTCTTCACTGCTTGCTTCTTCCTTGGAGGTTCCTCGGCAGTGACTGTAACACATGCTTTTCCACCATTAAAACTCAAGTTGATAGAAGAACTTGCCTGTGACAATGGAACATTGGCTTGTAAATGCATGGTAGCTTGCCCAGGTGTTTGCACTCTAGCTGTTGCAGTGCACTTGATATTTTTCTGCATGTGAGTTAAAATATAAGCAATTGGAGGCAAAATATAAGCAATGTGAGGCAAAATATAAGCAGTAGCACATACAGTTACTTGGCTTCGTTGAGATGCTCTTCTTTTCCCTCTTCCTCTACTGCTTTCATTAGAGGTAACAGTGGGTACAAAGCTGCCATGTGTAGAAGCAGCAGCTGATACATTACTTGGTTGTGGAGCAGCATGACCTGTGCCTCCTGGAGTTTCACTGCTAGATGGAACCCCATGTCTCTTGTCACAAGTGGACCTATTGTGGCCTATTTCCTTACATTTCCTGCATCTGATGACTGTCCCTACCTTAGGAAGTCTCTTTGCCTTTGGTTGTTCTTGTGGCTCCCTCTTCCTTTCTTTCTTAGGTCTGCCTGGCATTCTCACATATCCAGGTGCCTTCAAGGGTGGGAGATGAGACTCTGGCCAACTCTGCATACCCTCCAATGGGTTTAGGCAGTGAGAGTAAGTCTTGTTGAACTCATTAATATGATAACAAGATGCAATGTAATCATCTACCACATTTGTGTTGTAAAAGATGCATGAAATAGCATGGCAGCATGGCAACCCAGACAACTGCCAATACCTACAAGAGCACTCTCTAGCCTGTAGGTCAATTGTGAACCTGTTGTCCCAATGATTGACTTCAAATCTGTTAGCTCTATTGCTAATAGCATGGCATACCCCTGAAAGGGTGATACCTGCATTTAGCTTTTTAAGGATGTTGGGACACACTGTTTCTGTCCATGTTTGTGACTTAGACCTATTCTATTGGATCCTCACCATCACCTTCCTTCTAATTGTCTCCAGCATAGTTATAATAGGAAAGAACCTAGCTTCCACAATCCATTTGTTAAATGTTTCAGACATGTTGTTGTCAACAGAATCACAATTTGATCCTATCTTAAACCAGGCCCTGCTCCAATGAGCTGGATCAGTGTTCATCAAGGCTTGTGCACCATCTAGTGTATACTTTGCTAGTCTGGCCCTTACAAGATTGAACAATGATGGACAGGGTGCCTTTGCACAATGCCAGAATTTCTTTTGCCACTCCTTGTTCTT